TGGAGAATAAGATTTGTAGGTCAGGGGATCTACAGTACTTCATTATAAAGCTGTTACATTTTACCTTTATTAAATAACTGCTTTTTTCAGTAATATTTCAATTAATTGTGCAAACCCTAAATTCTATATTCTATTAATTAAAAAAGAAACATTGGCAGAGTTAAGGTCGAAGTAGGTGTAAAATGTTGTTGAAAATATAAATAAACTGCTTAATATTTCTGTAAAGTTTCTATAGAATGACCCATGTATAAATATGCAATATACAACTATAACTTTCGACTAATTAGTGCTTTAATTCGCACCTATAACTATAATAATATAATAAACAGCACCCATAACTATAATAATATAATAAACAGCACCCGGTATACAACTATAATAATTAATAAGCAAGCAGCAGCCGTACTAATAATAATAATGGATAATAAAACAGGCAGCGGTATATTAACTATAATAATATAATAAATAGCACCTATAAATGTAATAATATAATAATAATTTGCAGCTTTAGAGCAAGCACATTAAGTGTTGCATTCAAGGGTTTAATATTACCTGTGATTTGTTGCATGAAACTATTGAATGATGGGATTTTGCAGCCCAGAAACAATATAAAAACTATTTACTCCTAAAGGCTTTAACAGCTCACCGTAAACACCGTAAACACCGTAAACACCGATCCGTACCACAGCCTTACCTCTCATCCAGTCCACCACTTGTTGCGGCGTCCACTTACTCACTGCCTCCATCTCTCCGAGGTTTTTTTTATTTTATTTTGAAAATGTCGCTTCTCCAAACTGCCGAATTAAAACTCCCGTTAATCAGATCATGATTAGCTCATACCGGAGCACGGAGGGGTTCCGGTACCGCAGACAGAGACACAGACACGGTACCAACGGTCCCAACGGTCCCAACGGTCCGCCGCTCACTAACTGACTTTACAGGCAACGGCGGAGGAGAGAGTTACCATGGCGCTGGCCACGCCCCTTCCTAAGTTCTCCTCCAATCGCGTAAGAGTATGTTGATGCTGCATTCAGGCACTGTGGGAACAACGGGAAACTCCGAGGTACACGAATAAGGAAGGCGTTTCTGAGTTTATTGAAATTGTGTGACTGACATATATATATATATAACAGTTGGACAATTATTTAGAAACAACATAGATGTAGGGTTGGTGTATGTGTTTATAGAAATATATGTAGAGGTAAAGTTTGTAATTTAACAGACAAGAAGCGCAGGAGTATGAATAAATAAGAGTGTACTTGCTCGTCCTCCTTTTCAAACATTTAAGATTTAATTTTGTGTTGTTTATGAGGGTTTATTCATTGAGTGTGCATATAAGGTTATTGTTAATTTAATTTAAATGTTATTTTCTCTTGTTTTTTTGGTTTCTTTTTTCTTTTACATGTTCCAAATAAATATAAATAAGCAAAAGAAGCATTCGAGCGTCGTGAGGTTTATTGATGATACCATAACTGCATTTTAACCGAGAGATTTTAACTCGTTTTGTAATTTCTCTCATGAACATTGTAGTCTGATATTATTGCTTTTATAATTAATCACGTCCTCCCTGTGTCTGGGTGGATCAAGCTGCCTCCACCCTTTAGCAACCAGGAGCTCGCCCAACCTGTGTGCCACACTTCATGCAAGACTGGAAGCTAATGTGAAATACACGAATACACATCACAACCATCTGCACATTGAAGCCCATTCAGACAGAATGCAAATACATAAGACTCATTCATTACAAGGCTCATGTCCCAGTCATGGTTGTAGGCTAACTCCCTTTAGTTGTTTCACTCATTTGTGCTGTATAATGCTTATAGTGTGGCCCATAGGATAACAATAACATAATAACAGGAATATATAGTCTCAGTAACTGCAGTATTTTTGATTGAGGATTATACACATAACTTAAAGGTCCAGTGTGTAACATTTAGGCTCTATTGACAGAAATAGAATCTAATAGTCACGAGTATGTTTTCATTACTGTATAATCAACTGAATATAAAATTACAGCATCACTCATCCCCATGTGCACATTGGACTTAAACATCTGATATGTCTGACAGAACCTGAAGGCAGCATTATAAAAAGCAGAAGTGGGCGGGGCTTCGTGCTCTGAAGCCACAGAGCGGTAAAGGCTCCTCAGGTCTGTGAGTTATTCCAGAGATGGAGATTAAAAGTCTGTTTAAATGATGAAAAGAGAAGAAATGTAAACTTCTTCATGCTGTAGAAAGTGAAAGTTTTGATCTTTCAGTTTTTAGGAACACTGTCTGTGTTAATGAGCAGTACTGCTGATCCTTACATACATATATTCAAATATATATAAATAATTTCTCACATGCACTTTTAGTCTTTAGACCTTTTAATAGCCCTGTTAAATCATTGCTGTATAGTAAATGTTTTGTCTAGTGGATTTATTTATTTCTACAATATGCCACTACCTCCTTCTGTAACCTGTGCAATATTTTAAATTCTTTAAATAGCATCTGTATTGAAATACTGTAAACGGTTTGTACATACAACCCTAATTCTATGTTTTTCTTGATATATTTTTTCTATTTATTTTGTTATCTAATGTGTTTAATTTACGTCTGGAGCTGCTGTAACAAATGAATTTGTGGTAAAAATCTACAGTATTTCACATCCATCAGTGGTTCCCAACCTTTTTCCTTAAGGGACCCTCTTTTCCATCAGTGAGTAAACTGACTACCCCTGACTAACTGACCTATTTTATGGATGTTAACAGTACAGAACAACTGACAAACTGTACAATGAACCCAATACTACAACAACTACAGGAAGTTTGTGTAAAACAAGCAGTTTGGATTATATTAAATCAGAAGTGAGTTTTCTGATGGTTTTAGGAACTTTTTATACAATTATTTGTCTGTACTGTAACAATCATATCGAAGCAAACAATTTAACTGAGTTTTGTTCACAGAATTAGATGAAATGCTGAGTTAAAGGCCTACACAGGCCTGCATATTTTTAAGTTTTCTTACACCTCTTAAAATCAAGACGACCCCAGTGAAACTTTGGCGACCTCTAGTGGGCGTCCTGACCCCAGATTGGGAACCTAAGACATACGTCATAGCTAACAACAAAAACATTAACAGTTATCGAAAGTTGAATACTTTCGTTTTGGGAAACTTGAAGGTCTTTATTCAAACATTTCCACCACCAGCATCACTGAATGCTTGCAGTCACAGTCCTGAACCTGTTGATTTGAGTCTACATGAATCCCCTGCAGCTGATTTACAGAGACACATTACCCTCTTTTGACACAAATAAGCAAAAGCGAGGCCCATAGGCGGTTAAATAAACAAATAAATACACAAATGTTTGCCAGTTTTACCTCTAATAATTAAAGGAAGAGGAGTGAGGAAAGTAAGAAGGAAGAAATTATTAACTTTCAAACAGAGTGAGCACTTTGAATGATCAGATTGGAAGCAAATTAATTTATATTTAACCATATGGATGTAAACCAAGGGCAATTCTTTAACTACTAGAGCCTCAATCAGTAAAAGACAATAAAATAAAAAGTAGTTATTAGTTTGACTTCTCTATTACTCTCTCCTTTCCTCGTGTGACCTTTGACGTGTTGGTGTTGATTGTGCTCCTGTATGAAAACATTAATAGCCAATCTCTCAGGCTCAGGATTCCTGTTGGAGGAGGGTTGGACCGTGGTAACTGACCCTCAGTATTTACCCTGAGCCGGCTGCAGCACAGCGCTGGACAATGGATGCAGATAAAGGTGCCTGAGACTGGAACAATATATATTATTATACACACAGCAGCTCAGGAAAAGGCCTGGTGGAGTTACTGCAGTGTTCGGGAGCTGAAGAGAGTCTGGAAATAAAAACTCAAAAGTTACTGTAGATTAAAATACTTATTTTTAATTTAAACACACATTAAATGTTTGTGTGTCTTTGGCTATATTGCAGTCTAATAAAGTCAAAGAATATACTACTGTTGCTATAGACTGAATTCAGTAGTGGAAAGTGGATAAACTAAGTATATTTACTCAAGTACTGTACTGAAGTGCAATTATGAGATACTTTTAAAAATGTAATTAAATTAAATTAAATTTAAAATACTTTAATTGGGTATTTCCATTTACCTACTTTAAACTTCTACTCCACTACATTTATTTGATACATTTACATACTTCTTACTTTAAAATATAATAAACAAATACATTTTGATGTAATATCATCGAGTTAGCAAAGGTTAAATACTATATTTAAACAAATAATTATATATAAATAAATCAAATAACAAACAATAATATATAAATTTAACAAAAAAATATTGAAATTAAAACATATTAATGCATCAATAATCATAATCCAGTAATACATTATATGTATTAGTAGAATGAGCTACTATATTATATAATTATATATTTATTGATGCCAATACTTTTGTAGGCTACTTATATGTAACAGTATGTGTCTAAATTATTTTTAGTAAGATGTCAGGTCACCTGAATTGCACTGTGGGTAATGGAGTATTTCTATCAGGAGATGGCGCCACAGATTTATCTAAAAGCAGACAGCAGACAATGATCGTCTATGGTTGGAAAGATGAATCACTCTGAGGTTTAAAGCAGCCAGTAGAGATATCATGTGTGGTTCATATTATATACACACAGTAATATCTGCTATTTGTTTCTTCCAGTGTCAGCTAGATAGTATTAACTCAACCCCAGTTAATGTTCTTTCGTTATATTATATAGAGCAGCATTTGTTATCTTAGGTTAACCTTGGTCTGTGTTAGATAACATTCAGATAACAACACTAACACAGTGGTGGAAAGTAACATCAAGTACAGTTTCTAGGTATTTGTACTTTATTTTTAATTTTCTTACTATACCTCTACTCCTCTACATTTCAGTTCACATATTCATACATTCATTTGAAAGCTTTAGTTACTTTGTAGATTCAGATTTATATTATATAACATAATATAACCAAGAAATAAATCATGATGCAGTTTATTTTTAGGGATTAAGATGAAACTGACTGATTCCAGGGAGTAATAGTAGCAACATCAGTGTAATGTACATGAATGCATCAATAATGATAATATATAAATATAATATGTACTATTCTAAAATGGTCCATTCTTTACTTTTGGTTCCTTAACTTTAAAATACTTTACATAAATTCTGTTTGTAATACTTTTGTACTTTTAAGTAAAGTTTTGATTGAATGAGTTTTACTTAATTTATTTCTATAGTTTTGGCACTTTTTGTGTGTGTGATTAAAAAAAGATGATGTACCCAGGTCCTTTACTTAACAGTTTTTAAAGGTAAAAATAAATAAAAATCTTATTCTAATCTACTGAACTATAGAAATAACGGTTAAAGGATCTTTGTTTGTAAGTTGTGACCATTTCCTAAAATGGCAGTTTTGTACAAAGCAAGGCAAATAAACATGTTACTTCTGTATATAAACAGTTAATATCTGAGAGATATAAAAGATAAAAAAGAAGAATAAAAGATGAACTGAGTCAGGAGAGAGAGGAGGGAGGACCAGGGGCGTGTCCAGACTTTGTTTTTGACTGGGGTGGCACTCTAACACTCTATAACTAATTTTCATTCACATATCTTGAGGTCAGAGGTCAAGGGATCCCTTTGAAAATGACCACACCAGTTTTTCCATCTCCAAAATGTAGCCTAACATTGGAGCGTTATTTAGCTCCCTTCCCAACATGCCAACATGATGTGGTTGGTTCATTTACTCTAGTATTAAAACGCTCTCTACACCATCTGAAAGACAGTAGAGGGTGGAAGAGGCAAAGATAATAGGATGGCACTTGGGGTGCCCAATCAGGTTTCAGGTATAGCCAGTGAACCACCCAGGCCCCCACCCATTCTGGACACGCCCCTGGGTGAGGATTACAAAGGGATTTTGGAATAAGATTTTTTAAATTATAATATATTATTTAGTCAAAAAAGTACCCCAAAATCTTTATTTTTACATACATATCTGTTCCCTCTATCTCTCTGGTTCAGTTTGGTTGTCCGGTCCCTATAAAGCCGTCGGAGTGAGCCCTCCTGCCGTCGCTCCTCCTCCCGGTGTGAGCTGCTGTGGGTCTCTGTGCGCTTGTAGCGGCTCTTAATCAGATCCGCATGAAGCCAGAGCTGCTCGGTTGGACCGCTGCTCGTCTGGGAAGTTTTGCAGAGAAAAACCAGACAAAAAAAACAAAAAACAAAAGTCGGTTTAACCTGCCCGCCTTCACTTTCACCTCCCAGGCCTCGGAGGACAGCAGCAGGGCGGGCGAACCGGGACCGGGCTCGTTAGATTCAGCCGCTGTGCCGGTCCGAGCCGCCGCCGGAGTTTAACGCACATTTTTCTTGTTTTGTGCGCCGATGGAAGCGGAAAAACCGCCCTGCTCTCAGAGGTAACGGTGCCTTTAACTTCTCTTTCATCAACACCCTGCGGGAAGGCAGCCTGTTGCTTCATGTGCAAACTTCATGCAGTTCAGTTACATTAATATCTCCACAATGAGCGAACATACATGTGTGATTATCATCATTATTATTGTTGTTATTGTTGTTCTTATGTTTTAGGTGTTGTATTTGTGGTTCCTTTAACAAACAGTGATGTGCAGCATTAAGTTTACAGAAGTATTTAAAGTCACAGGGTAAACAAAGTTACATTTATGTTCATTATAGTAAGTCAAATAATAAGTTTTAATGTTTTTTATTGACAGTAATCTTTAATATATGACCAATATATAATAATTTGTTAAAGAATGATCACATTAAACGATCTGGGTAGGTCCAGGTAAGCTCAGACTTGATGTAGGCTGTTAAATATTAGTAGTTGTAGTTAATATAACATGGCACTCCTTCCTGTCTGTTACCTATAGTGGTTTAAAGGGTTCATTCACCCATTTGAATTATGTTAAGATGTATATTTATTTGTCCATTTCTTGGTAGCAGGTTCCTTCAGCAGAATCTCATTTAACAGAAACGTGTTTCGGATAGAAACTTCAGGGTTGAGTGATATCACTTTCTTTGAACCTTGTGACCTTTTGTGTTGGCGGATTTGTAAAGCTTTAATTGCGTGGTGTCTTTTATCTTCTGGTGATTTGTAAAGGTTATTACAGGGATAACAAACTAATTATTATATTAAAGGGAAGCGACAGCATTTTGAAGAATTACCGTTTAACATTTCTATTAAAGCTAAACCATATTTTATAGATCTGGAGAGATGGATCTTTGGGAGTGATTCTTTAATGTCTGTTGATTTCCTTAACAGATGCATCCAGTGAAAACAGCAAAGAGAAACTACAGATCTGCTGTTTTGTTGGTTGTTTTTCTGCTCACAACACAATCCACAGTGTCACCCAGCAGGGGGCCTGAGGATCTGACTGCGTTATAAAACTCTTTTAAAGTTGAACTTTAATAGATTTTTTTTTGGTTTCTTTCTACCCCAGAGATGCCCGGCAGTGAGAGGAAACCTTCCTTGCAGGATTTAAGTGGCAAGACATGTGAATCGAGACAAACGAGGCGACCGAAAACGCTCGGCTGACTGACAAACCGGAGCAGTCGGACACATTTTTTTGGATGTCGTTCACCTACGACGGCTTTCTCCTGCCTGGAAGACGTCACAGATAGCAGCCAATGTCAGCAGAAAACAGCCCCCCGCCGCCCCCTCCGCCGGCCTCCCCGCGGGCTTTCTCCGCCCTCCATCAGCATGCAGCCCCACCCACC